TTGGTACTCTTAAACGTATATTACACAATCTTATGGGTAAATGTATTTTCATTACAGCACAGTGTCCATAACAGCACAGTGAAGTTTTGAATCATCTTGTAGAGAGTGTAAAAGACTGATTTGTTTACAACCTCCACAGATTGAGGACTACAGTCTTGTTCGGTTCATACCTCTGGATCCCACTGATGAGGAATCCATTGGTGATCTTCTCATCAGTATTGACACCACATTACAGTATGATGAAGACCAGGATGTGCGGGTACCAAGAGACATCAGTGAGGAGGATTCCGATAGAGGCCATGGTTGTTCTGGCTTAGGGCTTGAAAATGATGACTGAGGACTGATGAAAGGTTGCAATGAGAGACAACTCAGTAGAGTGACACAGACTGTGATTCAGTTTATACTGGCTTAGGAGCAAAAAGAAAAGTATGACTGAGGACTTATGAAAGGCCTTCCACCTCCATGAACAAGGTTCAATTCCCTTCTAGGTCAACATGTGGATTGGGTTCTCAGTCTCTGATTCTCGGACTTTTTGCAGAATAATTGTCCAGGGTCATCCTCCCACCTCAGCAGCTCAACATATCTTCATTGTCTTCCCCCAGGCCCATCAGCAGAAATGGTTATAATTGATAGGACCTTACCCTGATTAAATAAAGATTAAACAAAATAACTTAAAACTGCTGTAAACTGATTGCTGGTTACAGTGACCTAAATTATGGAAAAAGTAGGCCTTGACATTTCCACCCTAGCAACATCTTGCACAAAGGCAGGAAAGAAGAAAACAAATGATACTGCCAGGATCGAAATGTCAGGCCCACTTTCTTAGTTTCAATAAATAAAATAAGAGCATAGAGAGAAATGAGAACAAAAACACAGTGTACCGTGTTAGAGCCTGGAAATCACGCCAGTATCTCTTGTTCAGATTGCACAATAAATGATTCTGACAAGAGTCATACCAAAATAGCACCTTTCATTTTATTGACATCTCATAATAGATGATCAACACAAATCTTTAATATGGTGATTGGATTCCTTTCTGGCTAGTATCTCTTTATAATGTACGAATACATTCACCATCCATGTGAAATCTACATGTATACCAATGGGCCTTTATCAACCCCTCTCATTTTCATAATCCAATAAGACATTAGAAGTTGATGTTACCTACTTGCTCCATGCAGACGCATACTGGCTTTAACAAAATTTCGATCTGTGAAAGTACATGTATATATTAAACATTACTGTTAATTAAAGTTTGCAAAAGTGTTTCTCTTTAGTTGTACACCATTTTGTAAAAACTCTTTTCTTTACAAAAACTATTGCCAGTGCTGATTCTTTTCCATTTAACATGCACATCGACTAGTGTAGGTTCTGGTCTTTGCTTGTTCCTGACTGTGTTGATATTGTATTGTACAATGTACATGTACATGTGTCTATTATTTCTTCCCTGTGCCACTCTCAGTCTTCAAACATTGCATCAATTTCACAAGCAACTTCCTCTGTCCAATGCGCAGGTAACATGCATACTTCTGTCTCCTGTTTAATGTTGAAGCATTACATGTAGAGTTCTCTTCACTGACAAGCATCATGTCCTCTTCCATTGTGTTCTTGAAAGACTTCAAATGTTTAGTGGCACATACCATGAGAAGCTGTCTCCATGGAGATGGCAAGTCCATCAGTCCATCTAGCCAAGGAACCAACCGATGTGGATATTTTAATATACCAGAGATAAAGTGGAATTATTTGTCTTCTGACATGAATGTTCACTTGCTTAACACCATCCTGAAACCGCATACATATACTAACTGTTAGTTGGAACGCACATGAGGGCAACAATGGTGTAGCTAAAACATGCAACAGTGCTGTGTATCAGTTTGAAGCTGTGGTCAGGAAAGGTGGTTATGTAGAACGACATGCGTCGTAAGTATATTATGCTCAGAAAGTGTACAGTACGTATTTTATGCGTCCTGAGCATAATGACACACATCGTTTAGACTACCATTTGCACAATGTACAACATCTATTATGTCTGGTTCAGGTAAACAGTTTACTTGATACTCGATGCTCTATCATCTCTATGTACATTATCCTTTGATCTTCCGTACAGATGAACACACAAAAATAGTGCTTCTTTACGAACAGTTCCAATAATTTCAAGGAATTAATAGACCAACTAATGAGTAATGGTACATTGCAGTGCTTGATTCAAATCAACCACTAGTACCATTAATGAGTAATAGTACATTGCAGCGCTTGATCCAAATCAACCACCAGTACTATTAATGAGTAATGGTACATTGCAGCGCTTGATCCAAATCAACCACCAGTACTATTAATCAGTAATGGTACATTGCAGCACTTGATCCAAATCAACCACTAGTACCATTAATGAGTAATGGTACATTGCAGCACTTGATCCAAATCAACCACCAGTACCATTAATGAGTAATGGCACATTGCAGTGCTTGATCCAAATCAACCACCAGTACCATTAATGAGTAATGGCACATTGCAGTGCTTGATCCAAATCAACCACCAGTACTATTAATCAGTAATGGTACATTGCAGCGCTTGATCCAAATCAACCACCAGTACCATCAAAAGAACTGAAGAGTATCAAGCAAAGCAAACTCACCAAATGAAAAGAGTTCCTCTAAGCTGTCCTCAATATGACCATCTTCTCCTTCCTCGTCAAGATCTTCATCAACAAAAGATGTTTCAAGCTTCTTAAAATCAGCAGAGGTCATAGTACAGATCTGTTCAACGAGGGAAAGGTCAAGAAACAAGTGCAACTTCGTTAAAATGAGCACTGTTAATACATTTTGTTTATAACAAGTTCATACAGTACATGTATTACCTTTAGAAAATAATGCTCTGCTCTTAAAGATGAGAAGAACTGACTATTCTAGTCACCAAAAATTGGTTCCAGTGCAAGAAAATGGAGTCATGAATTGGCATGATCTATTCAATACTTGTAACAGAGTATTCAAGGGCTCTGGACACACTTTAATGTAAAAACTGACAATTAAACGATGAGTTATGTGAAGTGTTCATTACAACCTGAGGCCTATTAACACAAACACAGAGTGTTTTGGGCAGATCGGTTCCAGCCTACATTAAACAGAACAGGTAGCATGATTTCTGATACAGAAACTTGACTTCAAAGTATGGCTAAACCACATTCACAAACTTGGATTTCACTGACCATGACTATCCATAACCACTTCAAGTTGATTTGTAAAAGTTAGTTAGATCCTGTGCAATACAGTAAAGACATTGATATTTTTTACCTTTAATGTTTGGTACGTCTCCCATTTATTCAAGATGCCATCCAAGCCAATAATGATGTTGTCATCAAGCATTTCCTCAGTGTCTCTCAAAAAGTTCCACTTAGCCTGGGCAAGGTGGTCATCCAGTTCAAACTCCAGATGTTCTCTCAACAGAATCAATGGAAGGTCCACCTTCTCCATGGGAATAGAGTCAGTGGGATCCACATGAACATTGGCTGTTTTATATCAACTAGTGTACATCATTTTCACCTACTAGCAATAAAATTTGTCAGCAACTTGCCTCTAAAATCTCCACTAAAATTTTGAGAGAACCTCCAGTTCAAATTGCACAACTTGGTGTGAAAATGACTCAGCACAAGACATCAAACTTCATAGCTTGTATAAATTGTGAAATATATACATGTATGTGCATTGGTTAAAACCTGCATGATAATCTCAGCATACTTCATTCAATCCGAACCTTGTTTCTTCAAAAATCTTTAAAAAAACAGGCAACGGGCATACATGTACATGTCAATTACATTGCATACTTACAGTGTCATAAATATTTTCTGGATACTTCTCAACAAATCCATACATCTGCAATAGCTGCCAATTAGGAAGCTCACCGTATGTGTTAAATATCTCCTCGTCCTGTTACACAAGAATAAGCAGAAGCTATGACTGATGAGGACACACAAATGACTCCACAAGAAGTTAAAGGAAATATGCAATTCAGCTCAACTTGTTTTGCTGGATATCACTATGTGTTGCAAATTTGCAACAAACAGGAGTACATGATTTCATTGAAGTGTTAAGAAGGCAGGAGTTTTCCAATTCTTAGAAAATACTTTCAATAGCAAAAGGGCACCATTTTGATGTAATACAAAAGACCAAAAAAACAGTGCAAATTCAGCCATCTAAAATTACCCACCAACAATGTTTTGAAGAAACAGTGGACACTACTATTGTTTAACCCTAACCCCCTAGGCTTTTGCACTAGAAAGCATACTGAACCTCACAAAATCCAACAGGTTCATCTACTTGTCTATGTACTTGTACATGCAGGTTACTGCACCAAACCTGATAAACTCCAACAGAATGAGCCCGTTGGAGTTTGAGTGATATGGTATGGATGGGTCAATGCAGCATAGGA